ATCTGTAATTTTTCTGTCATCACAGATGCAGCAGGTAGGTCCATTGTTATCAATTTCTTAGAAATGTGTCTGGTATCTCAGTAAGGAAATATGTCAGGTATGTCAAACTTTGAAAAGCATCCATGGATGTTATTTATTCGTGTGTCTACTGTTGAATAGTCTGTACCCTAAAATGTCAAATTTTCTGTGTATATGATCTTAATATGAAGTAGCAACAGAATATATAAAGAATCTGTTTGTGATACTGTTCTAACATTGGAATGAATTATCATATGAGTCTGTATCAATGTTCACAAATATCAGATGGTGTTTGTTGGAATATTGTTATCAAACACTGACTCCATGACTTTCAAGCACAATGTCATCTCCCATTAAAGAAACAAACTGAAACCACATTCATTTTCTTCTTTTGTTTGTGATTCATACTGTTTCACTTTAAGGACTAAAATTCATGGTTATAAAGGTTATGCATTTTACAGCAATTTCCCAAGTAAAAAATACTTGGAAAACGGTAGGTATAGGAAAAAACAATAGTGTAAGATTTTCAATATTCTCCATGCACATAGAAATCTATTATGTGTCTACTGATTAATTGAAAATGAGATGTTACTGAGCACATGTGGATGATGTGCAGGTGATGGTCCAAGAATATTACTGGATTGTAAACTCCAAATTTCTTCAGTGACACAAAGAAATTTACTTTGACTGTTGTGAGGGTTAGCATAGATATGTATGTTCTCCAGAGATGCATGTATTTGAATGCTTGGACTATAGGGAGTGGCTTTGCTGGAGTAGGGTTGGCCTTGTTGGAGGAAGAGTGTCAGTGTGGAGATGGGCTTTGAGGTTTTCTATTCTCAAGCTATACCAATTCAGTTCACTTTCTGTTGCCTGTGGCTTAAGATGGAGAACTTTCAACTGCTTTTCCAGGTCCATATCTGTTGGCACATTGCCATATTTTGTGCAATGAAGATAATGGACTACTCCTCTTAAACTGTAAGGCAGTCTCAATAAAATATTTTTTTATGAGAATTGTGGTCAAGGGCTTTCTTCACAGCAATAGAAATCCTGACTAAGACAGAAAGGGCTAACAGTGATTGGGGTATTGTTGTAATATGGCCCAACATTTGTTGTTATAGTAATACAGACTTTGGGAATATAGATTAGAAAAGCAGTTAATGCTTTAAGTTAAATGCTTTAAGTGAGGGAAATGGGTGATTCTAGTAGGAACATGGAAGACATTAGTGCTAAGAATGATCTGAAGTGGGAGCCTGACTCAAGAGTGTTTAGAGGGGAAGGATGTTAGTATTTGTCCTAGATATTGGTCTTGTAAAGAATGTGGGTGCTCTTTGCCCTTGCCAGAAAAGTTTGCATAAGACTAAAATGAAGAATTTTTGGAATAATTCCATTGGCAAAGGAATTCTCAAAACAGCCTAGTGTTGACTGTCTTGTCTATTAGAGTTCACTCCTATGCAGATTTATAATGAAAAGGAGCAAGCTGAACAAGGAAAACACAAAATGTGCAATTTGAGGAGAAAAAGAGCTTCAGTTTGTGGAATGGAGTTAAGGCCTGTGTTCAAGGAGATAAACAGATTTAGAAGGGAAATAATGGGAAAGATGACCTCAGGGCAAGATCCCACTCAGGTCACTTTCCAACTCTTACAACATAAATGAAAAAGCCCTAGAGCCATGTGTGGTTGTGCCCACCATTATCCAAGGATTCTAAAGGCAGATATCTCTGGATCTCTGAGTTTGTGGCCAGCTTGGTCTATAGAGCATGTTTCATATTAGCCAAGCTAAGGCAATGAAGGAAACCAATAAAAAAAGAAAGTTGTTGAAGATGTAATTGAAAGATTTCTGACTTCAAGGCCAGCTTGTTATGCAGAGGAAGTTTAAGGACATCTGAGATTAGGAGTGAAGGAAATCGTGGAAAATAGAAAGCTGTTGAAGTTTCAATCAAACAAGGTGTATATTTTCAGCCTCAGAAAGCAGCAGAAGTAGGCAGGTAAGAACATGTGGCTCTGGCTTTGGAGTCAAGCATAGAAGACAGGGGATATGGACTGGAAAGCTTCTATGACCAATCATGTTAAATGTATGTGCTAGCCTTGATGCCTGGAGAGAACACTGTGTAAAAGCAATCAATGTGAATCCTGGATTTCTATGCAGACCCTATATTTTATAGATGCCAGACCTGTGGTACACCTGCCCAGCAGAGCTGCTAAGGGGCAGTGGAAACACCCTGGGACAGAGAGTGATTTGTAGTCAATAATGCTGAACGAAGTTGGAGATCTAAGAGCATTTTGACATGGAGATGAAGGATTTGATATTGGCCCATGAGGTTTTTGAATCTCGCTCTCATCCAATATCTCATTATCCTCCCTATTCCCCACTGTTCCAGTATATGTTAGAAGTATGTGATTTGTTTTTATTTTTATTTAATATGGGATTACAGTTAAGCAACTGCATGAATCTAAGTAGAGAATTTTAACTTCGGACTTGAAAACATTGTTGAGACTCTGATAGATTATGAGGACTCTTGAAGTTGGACTGAGTGCACTTTGCATTATATTGTGGTTATAAGACAATGGGAGCCATGCAGTGAAGTTTAGTGGTTTGAAAAAGTATGACTCCCATAGATTAATATTTTGAATAATTGGCCTAAAGTGTGGCCTTATTAGGAGGTGTGGCGTTGCTGGAATAGGAGTGGCCTAGATGGAGGTGTGTGTGATTGTGTGGGTTGATGTTTGAGGTCTGTCTCATAGGCTCAGGCTATGCTCATTGTGGGAGTAATTTCACTTCCTGCTACTACAGATCAAGATTTAGAACTCTGCTGCATTTACAGCAGCATTTTTTGCCTTTTTGCAGTCTTTGTAATTAGACTGAGAGGCATTGACAGACTAACAGTTCTTAGTTTTTTCTCAAACAAGTCAAAGCTTGGTATTTTCATCCTTTTTCCTTATTTTTTTGTTCATGTTTTATATTTTATTTTATTTTAATTAGCTTAAATGTTGCTAGTTTCTTTAAGGCTTTTCACATTTATTGTTTTAGTTGAGACAATCATGTTTCTTCTCCTATTCTAGCTTATCTCTTGCATGTATATCTTTTTTTTTTCTATTCTAATATCAGGTCTGTTTTCTTACCTTCTCCATCGTCTCTCAAAGGGACTCTTTTTTATTCTCTTATGGGCCTTCTTCGAGTTTATTAGCTCAACTTACAATTATCCCACATAAACACATATTTCTAACACTTATAAATAATGAAATCACATTGGGACCGAATGTGTGGTAGTGATTTTTTTGGGCCTGTCTCACCCACTTTTGGAATACTTTCTGTTTTCTGCTCTAGCCATTCCACAGAGCATTCTACAGTACCAATGCTTTGAGATGGGCAAAGTGCTAGTATGTTGTAGTTCTTAAGATGTCAGCCCATGTCCCCATTTTGTTTTAACTCCTTCAGATCCCAAGACTCATAGACAATTTTGTTCCAGTTCTTGATTGTTCAGCTGACTGTCATTGCATGGCTGATGATTGTCTGGAGCACTGGTCCTTTTCTGGGACTGCATTGTTCAGCATGGTACTGATTCACAGCTGCTTCTACCTAGTTCTTCAAGAAGCTCTCACCCTAATTAAGAGCCTTTTATTTACCATCTCCTACATGAATAGCGTATGGTATGCTGAGAATTAACTCTGAATTTACTGAACTGATAGATTATCTTACCCAGTGCCTTTTTCCCTATGATTTCCACTCTGAGACTAAGGATTGGTACATGATTTTTCAAAATACTATTTCAATAGAGACCCTGAACATTTCTCCATTATCTATCATTCATCATATATTGTCTTCCTTGCCATTTATTGTAGCATTTTAGCCTTACTTCAAGATATTGTGCACTGTGTCAGATGTCATCATATCAGACATTCCCATCCCTCTACCAGCCCTGACATGCTTGTGCTAACATGTATGTCTATATGGTATGATTTCCTAAAGTCATTTCTTAGCATGATGTAAGTTTTCACTTAAAGCACAGTTCTAATGCATATTGTGCTTTCAATATTTTTTTTTCTCTAAGTCTGTTGCAGGACAAAGACTGAGAGTCCACTCAGCATGACAAAAGTCCAAAATGTGAGTCTGAATTAAGCAGACTTGGTTACTACATGGAGAGAAAACATCTCACAGTGAAGCCTCAAATTCATTTTACAGGGAACATTTAAAGGCAAACATACCAGGACAAGTATATTCTTGTTGACATTTCACAGGGGTGGGTAGGGAGTAAAGCAATCAAGCAGATTAAAAGAAGCTAAAACATGCAGTTATTTGGGGCATTTCAACACTCAGTTTGTAGAATATGGTTGAATACTTTTCCAAGAGACTTTTCCTGGAGGCAGTAGAAAAGGGAGAGTGAGTTTCAGGTTAAACCAATGGTGGCTTTCCCTGCATCAAGATGAAAGACCCTTTGTAATGTCAGAAGAACATAACTATGTCTGAATGGTATTATAAATGTCTCATTCTACATAATTTAATTTTAGATGAAATATGCATTATGCAATAATATATTTATTTTTCTAGACTTTATTGATGTTTTCTTTTATGCCAGGACTAGAAAATAGCAATATATTCTGGAAATCTTGCAATATATTTTGTTCTATGAGCTGTCATTTTTCACTGTCTCTCATGGGCTAATGTCACATGATTGTGAATGTTTCATTTTCTATAAAACTTGATGGTTCTCCTTCCAACTTACGTATGCTCTGAGGTATTGTGCAGACTCAAAGTATCATACATGGAAAGTAACTAGTCTTGTCAAATTTTAAGGATTAGATCTGTTTAAGTGGTCAGACTGGCCTTGAACTCCTGAGCTTAAAAGCACTTTTGTTTCAGTCTCTCAGTAGTCCCATCAATTAAAAGCTTCTTCTTCCACTGTAGACTGTAAATACTTGTCAGTATTTATTTGAGCAGAAGAATAACAGTTCCATATTCATAAGGAAATTATGCCAAATCACACAATGGACTTCTGGATTCTGGCATTCAGAATTATTTTCTTATCAGAAACTACAACTGGAATTCTGGGAAATTCCTCTCTAATTTTCTACTATCTGTTCTTTTACTGCAGAAAATGCATATTAAAGCCCACAGATTTGATTTTCATGCACCTATTGACAGCCAATGCCTTGATCATTCTTTCTGATGGAGTGCCCCAAACAATGGCAGTTTTTGGATTTAAGCATTTCTTGGATAGTTTTGGATGCCAGCTCCTATTGTACTTGCAAGGATTTGGTAGGAGTGTTTCCATTGCCACCACAAGCCTCCTGAGTGTCTTTCAGGTCTTGACCATTAGTCCCAGTAATTCCTGTTTGAAGGATCATAAATTCAAATTTGAAAAGAACATTGGCTACTACATTTTACTCCTCTGGATCATGTACATGTTCATAAACTTCATTCATTTTGTATACATACTTGCCAACAAGTATACAAACAATGTGACCAGAATATGGGATTTTGAATACTGCCGCAGTATAGTGAGGGGTGGAATTGGTGGTTCAATTTATGGAGCACTGGTGGTGTGCCCCGAGGTCTTCTTTTCTGTGCTCATGACCTGGTCTAGTGGAGCTATGATTGTTATTCTTTACAGACATAAACAGAGGGTAAAACACATCCGCAGCACTCATGGTTCCTTCAGAATCTCCCCTGAATCCAGGGTCACCCAGAATATTCTGATCCTGGTGTCTACCTTCCTGGCTTTTTATACTCTCTCCTCCATTTTAAGAGGCTACATGGCTCTCTTGTATAATCAAAATTGGTGGCTAATGAACTTCAGAGCCCTCACTTCTCTCTTTTTTCCATCTTTTGTACCCTTTCTTCTCCTACACCATTATTCTATTGTATCCAAGCTTTGTTTGTTCCAGATAAGGAATAAAAATCATTTAATCTTATTTTAACATTGAAAACAACATGTTTTGCTTGATATACAGTTTTTCTCCTGTGTCACACTGAAAATGTCAATGCAGAAAATTATGTAGGTAGTATTTTTTTAAGATTAGCTGAAATGAATATGAGCATTTTGTCAGCTGGCTGCATCAGCAGCCTACATGAGCCAATCCTAATCTGTGAGACCCATCTTAGTCTTCAACTTGAAGCTGTGAGACTCTTCTATTTGCTACCTGATGTGCAAAGGAGCCAGCATAAGACTCACAACCAAAATGTCCTCCTTGTGGTTTCATTCTTTTAGGGAATCATGTGCTGTGGATATCGCTGTGTATGCTGTAAATATTTTGTTCTGATTGGTTAATAAATAAAATTTGGGAAACCAATCCCTAGCTCTCTTCAGGCCTAGAGGTGAGTGACACTGTTCATCCCCAGTGAGCCTTGCCTCTAGGACCCATTCCTGGGCCCTAGCCATTTCCCTAGGAACACCCACCCAACTTGGCTATAGTTTCCAGCCAGAAGGCAGGGCTCCTGTGGGTAGGCCCCTCCCTCACCAAGACCCTACAGCAGACTCTGCAATCTATATGCTCTGCTCTTATACCCATCTGCAGGAGACCACAGCCACTTCCTGATTCTTGGAAACCAACCCCCAGCTCTATTTGGACCTACAGATGAGTGACTCTGTTCATACCCAGTGAGTCTTGCCCCTAGGACCCATCCCTGGGTCCCAGTCATTCCCTGGGAATGACCCCCTATGTTGGCCCCAGTTGCCATCCAGCAGGCAGGGTTCCTAAATGAAGACCCCTCCAACACCAAGACCCCACAGCAGACCCTGCAATCTACATGCCCTGCCCCCATACCCATCCACAGGATACTCCAGCCACTTTCTGAAGCTTGGAAACCAACCTGAAGCTCTCATTGGGCATAAATTCTCATCAAGGCTAAACAGAAAACTCTCATTGTTCAAAGAACTGTCATTGGACCAAGAGTAACCTCAGGGGACCAGGAATCTGCCACCTCTTATTGGACCAAGAGAGGCTTCCTGAAACACAGAATCTGTCAGCTGTGACTGGACCAGGAGCTCCTATAAGACCAAGAGTGGATCAGAGAGTCATAGAATCAACTTGCTTGGGTTAACCTAAGAGAAGCTACCTGAGACAAAGAATCTGCCTGTTCCAATTAGACAAAGAACTAAGACAGGACCCAGACAGGCTCCCTGAGACACAGACACAACAAGCACAGCAGCAACTCCCTCAGACACAGGTACCTCTTTTACCCATTAGAGGAGGAGATGGGCAGATGTCAAGGCAGAAGTACATAGGCAGAAACATCACCAGAACCTAGCCCTCCTCCAACAGCAAGACCTGAACATCACAAGGTAGAAAAAGCAGAAGAAAATGACCTTAACAATAGCATCATGAACATGCTAGATGCCTTTCAAGAAAAAAATGACAAATGAATTTGAGGAAAAGAAAAACAAAAAAGTGGAAGAAATCAATAAAGAAATTGAGAAAAAGACAAACAAAGAATTGGAAGAAATCTATAAAGAAATAGAAGAAAAGACAAAAAAGTGGAATAAATCAATAAATGCATCAAAGAAAATCATGAAAAAGCAATTAAATAGTTGGGGGAACAGTTCAAGACCTGAAAAGGGAAATAGAAACAATGAAGAAGACACAAACAGAGGGAATGCTGGAAATAGAAAATCTGAGTAAATGAACAGAAAAACACAGATGCAAGCATAACCTACAGAATACAAGAAATGGAAGAGAGGTTCTCTGGTGTAGAAGGTACAATAGAGGAAATAGATTCATCTGTCAAAGTAAATACCAAAGCCAAAAAAGTCATAACACAAAATGTCCAAAAAATCTAGGACACCATGGAAAGACCAAACCTAAGAATAATAGGATACCAACTCAAAGACATAGAAAATATATTCATGACTCTCTGATCCACTCTTGGTCTTATTTGAGAAGAATACCAACTCAAAGACATAGAACATATATTCAACAATATAGAAGAAAAATTTCCCAACTTAAAGAAGTGAATACCTATGAAGATACAAGAAGCCTATAGAACACTAAACAGACTAGATCCCCCAAACAAGTCTCTATGCCACATAATAATTAAACAAATAAACCTACAGAATAAAGAAAGAATATTAAGAGCAGCAAAGGAGAAAGGTCAAGTGACTTATAAAGGCAAACCCATCAGAATAACACCCGAATTCTCAATGGAGAATTTGAAAGCCAGAAGGACCTGGACAGATGTAATGCAGACACTAAGAGACCATGGATGCCAGCCTAGACTAATATACCCAGCAAAACTTTCATTTATCATAGATGGAGTGAAGAAAACATTCCAAGACAAAGCCAGATTTAAACAATACCTAACCACAAATCTAGCCCTATAGAAAGCCCTAGAAGGAAAAATTCCAACCTAAGGAAGTCAGATACACCCACAACAACACAGGCAATAGATAATCCAACAGCAGTAAATCCCAAAGAAGAGAAGTACACACACACTACCACCAAAAGATATCAGGAACTAACAATCACTGGTCACTAATATCCCTTAATATCAATGGACTTAATTCACCTATAAAAAGACACAGGCTAACAGAATGGATACAAAAGCAGGACCAATCTTTCAGCTGCATACAAGAAACACACCTCAATTTCAAAGATATACACTACACCAGAATAAAAGGCTGGGAAAAAATTTACAATCAAATGGTCTTAAAAAGCAAGCTTGTGTAGCCATCCTAATATCCAGCAAAATAGACTTCAAAGTAAAATCAATCAAAAGTGATCAAAAAGGACAATACATACTCATCACAGGAAAGATCCACCAAGATGAAGTTTCAATTCTGAACATTTATGCCCCAAACACAAGGGCAACTGTAGCAATAAGGCCTGCGCTACCACCATCTGCTCACCATGTCCAGCGAGGGGCTGTGGATCAAAAAACAGAGACAAGAGACAGTAGGTCATTCACCTCAGCAGAATGCCAAAGGCCGTTTATTGAAGGAGGGAGGAAACCTTAAATACAGGCTTGCAGCACAATGGGAGAACCCTGGAGGGTAGGAGTTCACTACTGATGTTTTACAATCTTGCATATAAGCTGTTAAAACCCAATATGCAGGATACACAAGCAAGGAACTTCCCTTAGGCATTCAGGGGGGGTGGAAACTGGCAGGGAATTAGCATTGGGAGGACATCAAGGTCAAGGTCAGCAAGCAAGGCAACAGCTACCCAAATGTGGCCAGGGCCCTACAGGCACCCACATATGTAAAATAAATATTACTAAAGCTTAAATCACACATAAAAACCGACATATTAATCACCCTACTTCAACACCCTACTCTTGCCACTGGACAGATCTGCCAAATTGAAACTTAGCAGAGAAATAAGGAACTTAAGCGATGTTATGACTCAAATGGACTTAATTGATATCTACAGAACATGCCACCCTAACAAAAAATAATATACCTTTTCTCAGCACCCCATGGAACCATCTCTAAAATTGACCACATACTCAGCCACAAGGCAAATCTCAAAAGACACACACACACACACACACACACACACACACACACACACACACAAATGGAATAACCTCCTGTATTCTATCAGTCCACCATGGTTTAAAGTTATATTTAAACAACAACAAAAATTTCAGAAAGCATACAATCTCATGGGAATGGAATAATGCTCAAAGTATCACCAATGGAAGAAAGAAAGAAATTACAGACTTCCTAGAGTTCAATGAAAATGAATATACCACATACCCCTATTTATGGGACACTACAAAAGCAGTGTTAACAGGAAGATTCATAGCACTATACGCCTATGTAAAGAAGTTGGAAAACCTCACACTAGTGACCTGAATGCTCTAGAACAAGAAGAAGCAGAGTCACCCAGGAGGAATAGATGCCAGGAAATAATCAAATCGAGAGATGAAATCAATGAAATAGAAACAAAGAGAACAATACAAAGAATCAATGAAACAAAGAGTTGGTTCTTTGAGAAAATCAATGAAGATAGACAAGCCCTTATTAAAAGTAACCAAAAGCCAGAGAGAGAGCATCCAAATTAATAAAATCTGAAATGAAAAGGGAGACATAACAACTAACACTGAGGAAATCCAGAGAACCATCAAGTCATCCTTCAAAAAACTGTACTCCCCAAAACTGGAAAATCTAAAAGAAATGGATAATTTTCAGGTTACACAACTCATAATGAAAATAAAAGAATCACATGTTTTCCATCATTTGCAGATCATATCCAATAGACACTAGTGAGGTATGCTGATGTGTAGTAGATTTCTAAAATTCGAAGTGATAGAAAGATTGTGGATAGCAATAGTGCTTCCACAATGACCCCATGAAGCCTTTAAACACTTCTCTGATCCAAGATATATGTTAGTTCAAACCACTTACCATGCCTTAGGAGGATATGACACAAATATCATTTTCTCTGTATTCAGGTTCCATGTATGCCCAGGTTTAGACAAAGTAATAACTGTCAACATGCCTCAGTGTCTTCCAGATGTTGAGATGTTGGATTTAGAGCTGTGATGTAATGTCTGAGCCTGTCCTTGTAAGGGGCCATATGTGATAAGAGTCATTTTGTTTGCAATTACTATGCAAGGAGATCTAACATCATAGGGATCCATGCTATGCTGAAATATCCCTATGTTGGAGAGAGTGATTGACTGTTCAGATGGACAGAAGCTATAAGCCTGTTGTTATGACATGTCCACTATACCAAAATCTACTTAGATTCAATACAACTCCAGTGAAAACCTCCATCTCATTGTTCATAAAAATAGAAAACAATCAGTCTTAAAATTCATGTGGAACCACAACAGACCTAGATAAAAAAATAACAATTCTTTTTTTTGGAGATAGGATTTCTCTGTGTAGCTTTGTGCCTTTCCTGGATCTCACTCTGTAGACCAGGATGGCCTTGAACTCACAAAGATCCTCCTGCCTCTGCCTCCCGAGTGCTGG